GCAGCTTATCTATTCCAAAGGTTACCCTGTCGCCCGCAGCCTGACCGAGCAGACCCATCGCCCATTATAATCATCCTAAGGAGGCGGAAACATACACATTCACGTTATCTTCAGTGGTTAATTCTTCACGTAAACCTTAGACCTTCAACTTGCATTTGGTATAAGCAAAATCCTTTGAAGGAGATTAACCAACTGACCCATAGTTGTCTCTAAAGTTTTTTCTGTTCTTTTTTTTTTTTTTTACTTTAAAATTTATTATAGGAATGAATTTTTTGAAATTGCTGTAACTCTTTACCTCCAGAAGAGATGTTACAACATTCTTTGAAACTTTTATTGAAAAATAAACAGATGTTGAAAAATTATTACTGGCTTTACCCTGGGGTGCGGTTTCCAGCAGGCCGTTGCTGACACCTTCTGGAATAAATCTCCACTGGAAAACCGAGTGGTCAGCCCCTCCTGTGCTTAACACCCACTGAAAGTCGTGAGACCAGCGGACGTTGGTGACATGTGCAGAATGGCCCACATACTTTCTAAATTTGGCTCCTGAAGATATTTTTAAGAAGATTAGTCATGCAAAAATATATATGTAATTTATTGGTTATAAAATTGCATTCTATCCAGGAATGTATTACAAAATCATTTTCACTATGACATATAACACATAAGCAAATGCTCCAAAAGATATCTCAATTATCCCAGCATGGATTAAGCTAAAAATGGATCTGAAGCAGTCCCTCCCTCACACCCTCCCTCCCAAACCTGTTCCAGATAATGCCTACTGCTTCACTGATTCTGAAAATAAATGCCAAAGAATGAATAGCTTACGCATCCTTCTTTGAATACTAGATAAAATGGGCAGTCCTTGCAACTAGAAAACAGAAAATTATTCTGTGGGAAAAGTCAAATTACTGTTTGGGGTCATGTAGATGCACATTTGGGAGAATGAAATTTTTTTCTCTTAAATTGATTGCTTTACTCAGGAAACATCATCATCAGGTAGTGAATTCAATAGAAAAACTATTTGAACTCATACCTGTGGTTGAACTACTGCGGTAGAAGTCTCCAGGGTATTTATTGTTGGTGCGCAGCAGCATAACGATATGCATGGAAACAAGCCCAGCCCACCTTATCACAGGTAGATCCAGTACTCCAAAGACTATGGAAGATTTAAGGGGGGCAACAAGCACCCCATCGCTCCTTCAGAAATACTTCTACCCTTTACAGGTCCTCCTAATGAAATCTCTTTGGGGGGAAAGGCCATCTGTTCAAACTATCACGTGTAAATATTGAATACCCACTGGAGAGGCAATGATGTAGATTTATATGGAGGTGAAAACGACTGCTACCTGTCCCTTTCCTGAGAGCATGTTCTAACCAGGTGAGGCCCTATTATATTAGGGCCTCCAAAAAAGTCTAGGGGCGTGCTGCCATAGAGGGGAAAGGGAGGCCTTGGGTCTCAAAAGCAGCCTTGCCTATTTCAAAGAGCTGCCTAAATCAGTTTGGGTGATTTAATAACGTCAAAGAGATTCCAACTAAGTCAGGTGGAAATGCTGTCTGATGATAATTCAATAGTTAGGAAGCAAAGTATATTCTTTCCTTATCTCCATAGATCTTGTTGGGTTTTCCTTTACTGCCCTCACCTTTACAGCCTCGTCGGAAATCATTTAACCTCTCTCTTTGCACTGGTTTGAAAACATGCCCACAAATAAAAAAGTTAAACTCATAGAAACAGACAGTAGGTTTCTGGTTACTAGGGGTTTGGGGCGGGAGAAATGGGGAGATGTTGGTCAAAGGGTCCGCTTTCAGTTTTAAAATGAATAAATTTGGGGAATCTAATGTACAGCGTGGTGGCTATAGTTACAATACTGTATTGTAGACCAGAAAGTTTCTGAGGGAATAGATCTTAAATCTTCTTGCCATACACACAAAGAAAAGGTAATTAAGTAAGGTGATAGATGGGTTATCTAACTGCATAGTAGTAATCATTTCACAATATATTAGTATATGAAATCATTGTTCACCTTAAACTTACACAATGTTTTCAATTATATCTCAAAAAATCTAGAAAAAAAGAAAAAATATGTCCGTAAACTCTCTAATACAAATCAAAATGAACAGAACATGGCAAAGGTGAAGACGTGTGGCAACCAAGAGGAGGTTACAAAAGGCACTGCAGATTCCTCCTTGCTCTCTTTCTTGGCTCTCTAGATACCAGGCGGTAAGGACATTCAAGCACCACACAGAGAGGCTCACGAGGCCAGGAACCGTGGCCTCCGGCCAGCAGCCACGTGAGTGAGCCATCACGGCCTCCCTAGCCTCCAAGTGACCGCAACTACCCGAGAGGCCTTGAGCTAGAATGTTCCAGCCACGCTGTTCCTGAATCCCTGACCCCCAGAAACTGCGTGAATATTGTTTGTTGATTTAAGCTGCTGAATTTGCTGGGGAGAGGGATTTGTGATGCAACAACAGAGAACTAATCACATTTGGTAGATTGGAACTAACACCCGCGAAGGCATTTGTGTCAATATTTAGGCCTCTTTCTAATCGTTTTTCCTATTTTCTCTTCCTTCCTTCCTTCCTTCCTTCCTTCCTTCCTTCCTTCCTTCCTTCCTTCCTTCCTCCCTCCCTCCCTCCCTCCCTCCTCCCTCCCTCCCTTCCTCCTTCCCTTCCCCTTCCTTTCTTTCTCTTTCTCTCTCTCCCTTTATCCCCTTTCTAGGCACACTGGCCTCTTTGCCATTCCTTAGGCATGCCAGGCACTCTTCTGCCTCTAAGCCTTTGCACTTGCTGTTCCCTGTCTGAGATGCTCTTTCCCTAAATACCTGAATGGCTGGTTCCCTCACCTCCTTCAGGTTTCTAGTCAGATGAAACCATATCAGTGACCCTTGTCTCACTACCTTATTTAAAGTAGCAACACTACTCGGCCCGACCTGAAAACTCTGTTCCCACTGCTTGCTTCCTTTTTCTTCAAAGCTCTTCTCACCATCAGACATGTTCATACTTTATTAACTATAGCCCCTCAGAACAAAAGCTCCACGAGGGCATGGATTTGTGCTGGTTTTATTCACTGATGTATCTCCAGCCTCTAAGATAGCACTTAAATATTTATTTAACAAATAAAGGCCACATCATCTCTTCCAAGGCTTTTCTTGGGACACTGAGTTTACCAGGCCTCTCTTTTTCCTCTGAACCACACCAGGACTCCTCTCTTACAGATCTTTCTCCCCTGGTTTTAAATACTGTAGTTATGCTCACATCTGTCAAATGTTCATCTCCAGCCCTGAACTCCCCTGGAGTGCTGATAGTCAATGGGCCATATCTCCCTGGGTGTCTAATACTGCTTCAAACTTACCACGGACAGAACAACTGATGAGTTGCCCTTCCCCTTCCTCGCCTACTCTTATATGCCCATAAGACATACACAGAGACTCAACCTTTCCCTTTCTCATTTTCCCGTCTCTAGAAATGGAGCCACCATGCACCCCATTGCTCAAGCCCAAAACTTGGAGTCATGCTTGATTTCTCTTTCCCTCTATCCCCATGTCCAATCCATCAGCAAAA